TATATATATATATATATAATTTTTTTTTTCTTTCTTTGAAAGAAATTCTATCCACAATTGTAACAAATTCTATCTCTTTAATTGACAATTTTCATGAAAAACAAACTCAGATGAACATCAAAAGATCCAAAATTTCAATATTTTTCAGGTAAAAAATTATACCAATTAAGTACATTTAGTTAACAACTCCCAGTAAAATAAGTTCTAGATAATTCAATTCCTTGAAATTCATTTTCTTTCCACTCAAACTCCATTCTTACAATCAAACAGACGCTTAGTGAATTTGATAACTCTAATTAACAGGATCACATTGGACCAAACCAGATTCTGGTTCTGGTTTGATTCCATACTTAGAGATTGAACCAATGGTTCCATTTTTAAAATATCTATTGGTGTTGTGTTTGATTCCGAATCAGATTGCATCCGCCCCTAAACATTTTGTGACAAGCACGATGGGGCATGGAAAGTTTCTAAACCAGCATCATTCCCAACCCAACTGAAGTCAGTATATTTCAGTAATCGCCTTACCTTCATCAGCTCCCTGAGTTGACTTACCTATCCTATTTTCCAGCCTCAGGCTCTCAGCTAATGTATCGGACCGTCATGCAGTCTACAAGAACTAAGCAAAGCAGGCCAAACATCAGAATCAGGCTTCTCAGGCATTTGAACTTTAAATTCAAGAGCATGGTTCGAACTTCCTGCATGTCCTAGGAGATCGAATATGCAAGCCTAATGCTCCATTTACATGCTCTGAAAGATCTCCTTTCCTTTAGCAAATAATCCTGCACCGGCACAAGCAGATAGAGCACCAAGAAATGTAAAGTATTCTGGCCCAGTGTGACACTGCAGTATCATTCTATAAAAAAATCAATGTAGATTTTCCTCATGATCCTGCATCGATTATGTACAGATATGTCTGCACGAGAAACGCTCTATTTTTGTACTCAGAATATTCTCTCACAGTCATGCATTAGGTGCTGTAATTACTACGAAGTAAATCTCAGTAACAATGAGGAGACTACATGATAAACATGACCATCAAAAGATTACAGTCAAATCGCATCAAAATTTGAGAAGATTATGTCAAAATACAGATCATGGAGTGCACAACCAAGTACATGATGAGATAGAACAACTTAAGACGATCTATCGTATTGTGCACTTCTCCTTGCACATTCCAGGATTGTGCACTTCTCCTTGCACATTCCAGGATTGTTTTGTCTGCCGTTATGAAATACGCTGCAATTGATGCTGAAAACAGGAAGAAAGCATATCAATATTCTTAAACCGTGACACACACAACAAAATGGACATCTTTCGTCACTAAACTTGCATTCCACACAATAAAGTCAAATTGATCACAGATATATTTCTCAATGTAAAGAAGTATTAATGTTAGACGAGGTCTTATGTAACAGGTATAAATCCATGTCTGAGTAAATTTTACACCTTATAATCACTTAGGAACGTATGTTTGGAAGGTTCTAATTGCAAGAAAATAACAGAACAAAAGAGAGGGTGTATTTAGAGGTGTAAACCGGGCCCAATGGACCTTCGAGGCAGAGGCCAGCACAATCCCTCCATCGAAAAGGGGCACGACAAGCCCTCTATCGATCCAGAAAGTTGCATAAATTATTTATTTTTTCAGTTAATTTTTAAGAAAAATAGAAAAAGCTCGCAAGGTATTGGAACTCAATAGCTAGGCCCACATTAGGCATACGAAGTAAGAGCCGAGTGCTGCCCATCTTCTAGTTCTTCTATATTTTCACAGTACTCAAATTGTTCATTTATTTATTTAAAAAAAAAAAAACATAATTTACTCATGAAACTTCGGCTTTTAGTTATATGCTAATATTATATTAAAGGAAAGAGCAGTCAATAACACCAAGAAATTTCCTTTATCATCTAAATTATGAGAAATTTAACAAAAATAACCTTCTTCATCAATGACAAAGAAGGAATTTTTCAAAAGTCAAAATTAGCTAAGCTTTATATATTATGAACTATCCAATACAAATTAAATTTTGACTTACCAGCAGATATAATGAGTGCCTGGGCACCGTACTCAGATTGTTCATTTAGTTTTCGGGGGGGGGGGGGGGGGGGGAAAAAAAAA